AAGAGAAAAGTTCAATCCTTCTGAGGTGTACTCTAACCTACACATGTATACCGTAACACCCTATGTGCACCCAATGTATTATCATTATTTATGGCATTAAGCGCAACTAAATTTTATACAGTATTGCAGAAAATTGAGAATAACTTTTTCTTTTTCTAGATAAACTCATTTCATGTTCAATAATGTCTATTCCTTTAATTATTAATCATACATTAGCTAGGAGTATCTTATATTAGTGTACACCCCATAACAAGTGGCCTACATAAGTCAATAAGGGTAAAACATGAAATTTTAAGATGTAGGGTTAGAGCGCTTTAGCGCGCTCCCGCACAAAGAAATTATCCTGTCCAACGCGCTTTAGCGCCCTTAACCCGAAGGATTTTCCCTTTAGAGCGCTTTAGCGCTCACTAGATCTACTTATGCCTTTGTTTGCCAAATAATTTTGAATGCGCCTTAAGAAGAAATACTTACAATATATAGAGGGCGCTATTTGTCTTGAATGATCACCTATACTTTGACGAAAGACTCAAAGTATAATATTTATAGACTTTTTTTTCAAAATCAATTACTAAGGATAACTCTCTAATTTTTTGCACTAAATATGTTGTGAAAGATTATCATGATATATAAGAAAATTTTCCAAAATATATTTTTGAAAATAAAATCAAAATATTCAAATTAACTTTCCAAAATTAGATAAGATAAAATCAAATCTCTTAAAAAGAAAATTAATCTTAAATTAACTTATTCTATTTCAAATCAAAAATCAAATCTTAAAAATATATTTGGATTAAAAATAAAACTTTTAAATCTTATCTTCTTAGTTTCTAAAACTTCACAGATTCTAACCTAAAGTATGATCAGGATTCACCTCATCTAACCATTACATTAAATCTAATATTTTATCTTTCAACTTCAGTCTTCATAATTTTATGACAATTGTGTTGCATTATCTTTATCATAATTCCTCACAAATTAAGTTCTGCAATAACTTTTCAAAAACTAAACAAATTATTAGATAATTTGGCTCCACTTGTTTGTTATCATCAAAACTAGACAAGGTGTGAGACCTAACAATATTTAACAAAGCTTAAGCTGTTACCTATATGCAAATACATAATAAGATTGAAGCATTGGTTCATAATATCATAATGCACCAGCTCATTTATCTTGTCCTATGAATGAGGGTGACAAGAATCATGGTAGAAATCCTGATAATATGTATATCATAAACCAATTATCCTAAAAATTCAAATGATTACTTGCATGCAAACAAGTAATTTTGTTTTACATCTCTTAACAGATGATGGGGAAATTGATTTATTGTAATTCATCTTGTCCAATTATATTACACTTTTGTCGCTTCATCTCTTGTTGTTGCAAACATGGCAAGTATACCGAATATTCCAAGTAATAAAGTGATTAGTGAATATCGTTTCCACGAAGACTAAATTCAAGCAATAAGTTAGACAAATCAAAAGGTTTTAACAGACAACCAACATTTAATTAAAAATTAAATAAAGATGACAGTAGAAGAAATTAATTAAAAGATGAACTTAAAATTATGAAAAAAATGTAGTTAGGGTTTACTTCATCTTTAACCCCCCTTAATTGGTTTAACTCATCTTCGATCCCCCTTAATTGGTTTAACTCGATTCAATATCTTTCTATCCCAATTGTTGCAAACAATTCACCATATAAAAATTAATTGGTTAAATCCTAATGTGTTACTTCTTTAACCCTTTAATCCAATTGGAATCCTAATTTCTTAGAAATCCCTTTTAGATTAAGCCTTAATCGCGATGAATTACACAAGTTAACAATTCTTACAAGCCTATGTCTACAACATGCATGAATTGATATTCTATCCCTATCTAGATTAAAATCTCAATATATTTATTGTGAATCTGAATCCTCTTTATTCCTATATGACTGATTAGGTCATACAAGAATTTAAAAATATAAATCAAGGTAAACACAAATAATTTGAGACAGATTCTTATTGAAAAGAAATTAAGCCAAAATAAGGATTCACGTATGATCTATATCCCTAACTACAAAAAGTGAATTAGCCAGACATATCTGCCTTAAACAAAACAAGAAAAGAAATTAAAATAAATGAAGTGAGTGAGGGAAGAATGATGGTTGATCGCCACTGCAAAGTTTTGATCTTCCATCAATCTTCGTCTTGAGCTTTGAAAAACAAGATTCTTTCTCTGGTTTTTGTGTTCCCTTTCTTTAGAATGTGCAAGAATGAATTTTTCTTCCAAATTCTCCCCTTTATATTTAGAAGAAAGTTTCCTTAATTTCTCTCAATCAAATCCTTAAAATCTTCCTTTTTATATTTATAGGAACATTTTTCTTAAAAATATTCAATAGAATATTCAATCAAATCTTCAATCAATTATATTATTCAAAAATTCAAAACAAATACACTTAAGCCTTACAACTTGATCTCTCCATTTTATCTTTTTATTAAGCTGAAAAATCCTTTAAAATATGAGAAACTTTTATGAGAATATTACTGAAAGTAAAATAACACTTTAGTTATAATTCTCACATCTTTTGATTAATTTTAAATCAGTTTCACGACTTTCATGCTCATTTTAACCTTTAATACATAATAAATTGGAGGTTCATCAAACAATTTTCAGATTTATACATTGTTATCCCCAGTAATAACAAGAATAACAATATAAAGCAAATAGAGTGACCTTAGGAGAATAATACATGAAATTCAAGTATAATATTGCATCAAACAAGTAATTCAGAGCAGATACTTAGGAGAATACTATGCTAAGCATGAATGACTTCCAATTTTGAGAACTTCAAACAATAATTTTTTTTTCAAGATGTGAGATACCCCTCACTGGGATAAATAATGTACTCATCACTCAAGTGTTTGAGGTAAGATCACTCAATCCATCAGTGTAATAGCACTACAATAGACTTAATCTTTTTCTCAAGTTCCTAAACATAGATAACATGCGCAAATTGATCAAAAAGTCTTTTCAGGGTTGTAACCTGGTCTGGTATGGGGTAAGAATATTTGGAAAGTAGCTAAATTTATTGTATGAGATTGAAACATATTAATCCAATGTAAAATCATTCAATTCACATACATTTTTTTTACTACTTCTCTTTATGACCTCTTTCTTTTCTAACTTCATACTTTTCTCCTTTCTACCGTCTTATTTTCTTAATTTCTACCTCTTTAGAAACTTAATAAAATAAAAAAATGCATTTTCTTTTTCTATTTTTTAACACAAACATAACTACTGCAACTTTATTTTAATTTTTCTTCCTCACATTGAGCACTCCTCCCATTTTCTTATTACTTAATATTATTCACAATAACTTCACCTTAAAATTTTGGTAAGTCTTTTAATATCATTCAAAGGTGGGATAATTAAGGATATGAGTTAAGTAACAATGTGGATAAATAAAAGAAAAATAAGTATCAGGCTCAAAGGGGTTAGCAATGGAAAATTTATTAGGTGGTCTATTTGGCCAACTAGTTATATAGAACAAAATGCCTTTGTCTTCCCAATTCATGCATGTATCACAAGAGAATTAGAGCAATTTCTAAAGTACTATTACAATGCAGTGAGGTCTCGATTTTTTTTTTGTTTAGGCTCAAACCTCACATGTTGTGGAACCAAGCTAGAACATTATTCCTTATTCTCTAATCAGAATATCATCCAAAAATCCTTAAAAGAAAAATCATTCAAACAAGCAATCATATTCTCCTAATTGAGGTTCAATACAATATCATGACAAAGAAATCATTGTGAAATCTCACAATGTCACTTGTGCTTCCTGGAGTCTATTCAGATTTATTAACCAATTCAGCTCAAACTATCTTGGAAAAGCATTCAGAGACTGGTAGAATAATAAAAGAAAAATCAAAAAAATAAAATAAAAAGGATTGATATCTCTCTCTTGAATTTGAAAAATTTTGTAGGGTGTTTTTCTTTGTGTCTATTCCTGAATCAAAGCATGTTATGAAACCAATTCCCATATTTAGAACATTGTTGTCCTCAACAATAAATTATAGGCACAAGGTGAATTAATTTTGCACACTTAGAACACTCTCAGAGAGATTACAACAAAAATAAAATGATAATATCAATAGCAATGATTAGAGTGTGAGTAAATATCTCAATACAGTGCTAAGGAAAAAGAAATAAAATAAAATAAAGTAAGAAAAAATGATTGGGTTGTCTCCGAATTAGCTCTTATTTAACGTAGCGAGGCACCAGATGAATTGATTTTGCACACTTAGAACACTCACAGAGAGATTACAACAAAAATAAAATGATAATATCAATAGCAAAGATTAGAGTGTGAGTAAATATCTCAATACAGTGCTAAGGAAAAAGAAATAAAATAAAATAAAGTAAGAAAAACTGATTGGGTTGTCTCCGAATTAGCGCTTATTTAACGTAGCGACCCTGACCCCCTTATGATTGTGGTGGTCAGAAGCATGTAATCATTGATGACCCAGTCTTCTTGGTCAAGTGTTGTGCCCTTCCATAATAATCCTGCAAAAATGAACGAGGTGGAGTGGCCTCGGGAGCTCTAAACTTAGACTTTATGTGTTTCTCTTGCTCATGTGCTTTTCCATCTTAACTTTCGGCCTGTATTCTTCATACCGCTGATGGACTTGTTTTCCTCCTCGACCTTCTTTTCAGCAATGCAGTAAACTCGACCTTTAGGTTTTTTAGTTAGTTCAACTAGCTCTTCTTCCAATGCATTTGTCACTTCAGTTTAATCAGTGGCTTTAACTACTTCAGTCAGTAGATCATCATTGAGTAGCTCTGAGGAGTGCAAAATATCTACAAATTGATCTTCAATAGTGGGAGGGCTTGCGTCTTCAAAGATCTTCTCAAAAATAGCTTCATCTATCTCATCAACCTGAAAACAGTCTCCTTTGACTTCATGATGCTTCGTAGCCTCAAAAATATTCATTTTGAATTCACCATCATTGACTCTAAAAATCATCTCTCTTGCTCCATGTTAATCAGTGCCCTAGCGGTTGCCAAGAATGATCTTTCTAAGATCAGAGGCATGTTGACATCTTCCTCCATATTAAGCATTACAAAGTCAACTGGGAAGATATAATCATTTACCTTCACTAGGACATCATCAAGTACTTCTTCTAGCTTCTTGATGGTTCTATCAACAATTTGAAGATACATCAGTGTAGACTTCATCTTAGTGATCCCCAAGGACTTTACAAATGAGAGGGGCATCAAATTGACGTTGGTTTCCAGATCATATAAGGCTCTTCCTACTTGCTGATTCCCGATCATGCAGGAAATACTAAAGCTACCAGGATCATTGACCTTTGGTGGCATCCTTTCTTTTATCGCTGCACTACTATCTTGTGTCAGAGCCACAATTTTTATCTCCCTCAACTTATGCTTCTCTGCTAAAAGACCTTTCATGAACTTAGCCTAGAGAGGCATATTCTCCAAAGCTTCAGAGAAAGGGATATTAAATTGTAGCTTTTTGAACATCTCCACAAATATTGAATATTGTTGCTTTTCTTTTTGTCCGAAGAGGGTACGGAGCTTTAGCATATGGATTCAGTTGACTGAAGCCATTGGGAGGTTTCTTTGAAGCACCGTTATCCCTAATAATCTCCCCTCCAAAATAGGTCGCATCATCAAAATCTTTAAGGGTCTCCTCTTTCTTATTATTCTCTTCTTTTTGTTGTTTCTCCTATTTATCTCTGTCATCTATCTTGGTCGACTTCTCTTGAGGTTAGATCTCCTTTCCACTTCGAGTGGTGATTACATTGCAATCTCCCTTGGATTAATCACAGTGTCACTAGGAATTGTCCCCGAAGTTCTTTCATTCAATTGCTAGGCCAGTGTACGATCTGAGTCTCGAGATTTTCGATGGAGGCCTCTTGATTCTTGAATTTCAGCCTTATCTCTTGCACAAAAGCATTAGTGATCGTGGCAATTGTCTCTACCAGTTTCTCCAAAGTTGTAGATGGACTGGGCTGCACAGTTTGTTGTGGTTATGGGCTGTAAGAGAAACCCACATTATTCTTCCGGCCCAGGTTGTTATTGCATTGGTAGTTATTCCTTGGTGGGTTCCCCATATAGTTGACTTCAGCTGGTTGAGCCAACGGGCTGCTTGTAGTGGAGTTTCCCTTAGCACATGATGGAAGAGATCTGATTCTTAGCAACCAGCTTTGTAAGTGATTCCATCTATTTCTGCGAGCTTTGCTGACCAATCATCATGATATCAAACCTATCCAGTTGAAGCATGCCCCTCTTTGAAGTGGGCACATCTTCATTATCCTCCGCAGCCAAATCTTCAATGAGTTGTAAATACTCGACTTGAGCTTTAGTGACTAGAGATTCATTAGCAACTACATTGAGAAGCCTCCTATCGGTAGGGCATATACCATGGTAGAAAAGCCTCACTTTATTGCCCGTTTGAATAGTGTATTGTGGACAGGCTGTTAGCAGACCTGTGAATCTTCTCCAAGCTATACCAAAAGATTCTCCATCATGTTGAGAAAAATGATCAATCTCTCGCTTCTTCTGCATAAACTTTGAAAAAGTGGAGAATTTCTTTCTAAAACCCACCACCAAATCGTCCTATGATGTGATGCTCCCTTCAGGTTCATTCCTCAACCATTCCTTTGTTTTTCCCTTTGGCGAAAACAAAGAGTATAAGACGAATTGCATCAATGCTAACTCCATTATGCTTGTGAAGCTGACATAGATTCAAAAATCCAAAAACATGAAGATTGGGATCATAATCGTCCTCCCCTGAAAATTGGTTATTCTGGAAGAGCTACAAGAAGGCCGAATGAACTTAAAAGTTGTTGGCTTGGATTGGTGGAATGACGATTGCAGAAGAGACAGGTGGAAAGGATGGGTTGAGGAATTGCTCCATGGTATCTGCAGGTGATGGTTCCTCAGCCATAGTTGCTTGCTCTTGGAAAAGTGATATGTTAACCTTTTTTTTCGTTTCGCTCTTAAACAAGTCTCATGTATTACTGAGAGTAAAATAACACTTTAGTTACAATTCTCACATCTTTAATTATTTTTAAATTAGTATCATGCTCATTTTAATCTTTAATATATAATTAATTAGAGGCGTATCGCTTGCATTTATCCATGCTCTTCTATGTTAATCACTTGCATGGTGACTGCTTAGGAAAACCTCAAAACAAACTTCGAACGAATAAAAAACCACAATGAGTAATTTCATTATGTGTTTAAAGAAAAAAATAAATATAAAAAAGGATGTTCAAAGATAGCCTCGGTTGGACATCCATTGTTGGGCATGGAGCAACCTCCTTATGCGTATTATCATTTATCATAAAAGAAATGACAGGTGATCTATCATTGCGGAATCACTTTGAAAAGGGTTAGACCTCATTTGGACCCAGCCCTCAAATATTAAACATAGGGTTGCTTCAATTCGGGGCCTGTTGTGGCTAGAAAACTTTTTTCTTCGGCTACGAGGTACCTCATTATTCGGGCCTCAGGCTACAATGGTCCAATTAAGTGCATCATTTATAACTTGTTACACCGTTACCTAATGAAAACGGCCACGACAAAGTCCAAAAGACACATGACATAAATTAATAAACAGGGATGCCACAAAACAATAAAACTTAAATTTAAAGTAAACAACTATAATCCAAAGTTGTCAAAATTTTTGCAAACAAAGTACAAATTGCTAGTGATCATAAGTCGGAAATTTAAATTCTTATATTCACATAAAATTTGTAAGACAATACTCAATATAGTTACCACAAAATATACATATTTTGAAATCTACATTGTGATTAAGCAATCGTTTTTTTAATCTTAGTTTCCAGTTTTGATCCAACAACGGATACATTTATAGGATATATTATCTCTCAGTGTGTGTCACTCGCATTTAATTTTAAACAACTCCTATGAGTTTAGAATCTTAGAAGGTGAAATTAAGTTTTGAATAACTTTTATTATATCAGTTTTGAGATATCACCCTTAATCTTTAATTTATCAGTTAATGTCTCGAAGTCATATTAAGGATTCGAAATTAATTGTGGATGATGCCAGAATTGCAAAGAGAGAAAAACCACTTGTACGAGACTAGTTCACAATAAAATGGATTAAAGTATACGATATATTAATTTTTTAGGTGTATTATATTTACAAATTTTTTATTTACAAAGTCTTACAAATTATACTATGTATTTTGGAGAGTACACACTTAAGTATTTATACTATCCGGAGTACAAACTCAAGTGTTTATACTCTCCGGAGAACAAACTCTTACAAATTATACTATGTATTTTGAGGAGTACACACTTAAGTATTTATCCTCCCCAGAATACAAAGTATAATTTATAAATAAATTTTTTTATAAATATAATATTGTTAAATCTTTTAAGAGAAGGGAATTTTTTTTTCAAAATATAAGAGATGCTAATATAATTTGAGTATCTCTCAACGGGGGAAGTGCAATTCACTCTAAAATAATTTTATTATGAAAAATAATATTTCAAAATTTTTATAACAACAAAATATGACTAAAAATTAACAAGTGAGGTATTTAAATAGTCATATAATTTTAATTGCTGCAAAACTAATAGTCGCAATTCACTATATCAAATAATTAGCAAGTATGTTGTGTATGTATAGGAAATTACTAAATTAAGATAAAATTCAAAAAGCATAAATTAAAAGAAAAATATTTAAAATTATAAATGAGGTATACATCATTAATTCGGGTAAAATTTCTAAAATATAAATCAAAAGAGATAAAAGTTAAAACTATAAAAAAGAAGTGTCAAATTTTTTGAATTTAAAATTAAAAAAATAGATTAAAAAAATGTGTTATTTTTCAAAAAAGAAAATAAATTGAGAGATCAAATTATTGTCAATATAATATACTAAAACTTAATATATATGAATGAATTATCATTATGTTTTCTATTGACGAATGACATGTATTGTGAAAATCCTTACAAGAAGGCACTTAAACTTTTTTTATTTTCTTTGTCAGATTTCCAATTTAGAAGAAACAGATTTGTTAAATATATCTTTTTCTTTCTCCTAATGTTAATCGGATTTCTCATCAAATACATCCTTAAAAAGGGTGATAGTTTTTAATTGTGACTGAGTCTCGATTACAGAATAATCTTATAACTGATTCAAAGAATTAAATGTTGTGAAAATAATTTATAAATAAGCTCGTTTCAAAAAAAATAAATAAAGCCAGTATATTAACAAAAATATTAATTGGATTTTTATCGGAAGGGTATCCGCTTTTATATATAAGGACAAAGAAAAAAATATTCGAAACGTTATCACAACCAAATTGTGGCACTTTCTAGTACCCTCGTACGTTATTTAATATGATGATGATGATTACAAATCTTAATTATTTATGAATAACCAACAGGAATAAGAGAGAAAAAAAATAAAAAATGATAAAAAATAATTATTGATTTATTCAAATATAATTAAAATTACCTCACATCACGTTATCAACTTATCATTTGTATAAAGGAGTTAATATTTCTTATATTATAAGATATGATTTTATTTTTTATATATACATAAAAATATACGAAATTTATACAGGACGATATGAGAAAAAGAAAGAAAAAAATAAATATAAATTACGTGTATTGAAAATAAAATTTATCTCCTAATAAACATCAAACTCTTATATAAAATATGACATGATTCGGGGTGTCAATACGGGTTTTGACACGCGGGTCGACCCGCGACACGACACGAAAATTCGTGTTCGGGTTGACCCGTAAAAAAATTCGTGTCGTGTTCGTGTTGGGAAAAATGACACGCAAAAAATTCGTGTCGTGTTCGTGTTTATCAATTCGTGTTCATGTCGACCCGTATTTTTTTTTTGTTATTATTATTATTATTTTTTATTATTATTTTTTAATTTTTATTTTATTTTCGATCTATTTTTTTAATTTTTTTTGTCAATTACCGTTTTGACCCCCTATTTTGCGTGTTATTCGTGTCGTGTCATGTCAACCCGTAAAAAATTCGTGTCGTGTCAGTGTTGAAGATTTTGACACGAATAAAAATTCGTGTCATGTTCGTGTTGTGTCGAATTCGTGTCGTGTCGAATTCGTGTTGACACCCTAATGATTCATTCTCATTTCCGATTCCTTCCTTGCTTTGTCGAGGAACACTTTGCTTTGGGATTATTACCTTAAATGCATGTTTTAATTGTGCAATAATTAATATATGCCTTCCCAAAATTGGCTAGTGGGGAACTACTTGTAACTTTTATTAAATTTTTCATAAACCTCTTAGACCCACCCAGCTCATCACTTCTGTATATTAAGTGTCACCAACAGGCAACTGCACTTAAAAGCAAGAGACTTTCTCAGATTCTCTGGTTGTCCAAAACCGAAGAAGAAAAGCTGGTTGTTGAAAACATTTTTTTTTTTTTTTTTTGGTTAATAAAGAAGACTGTTATAGATGTAAGCCTGCTTTTATGAATGTTGATTCAAAACTAAAATTTCCTCATCCAAGTTCGTTTGAGATTTTTCTAGTGTTTTTCTTTTTAAAGTCTCTTGTTTGGCCCTTTTTAAGATCTTAGGGGTGCAAACAGTAGCCGCAACCTTCAGAAATTTGGGAATCTTCTCTTTACTACACATATGACGAAGAGCCACTTAAGAAAAAAAAAATTATATATATAAAGGGTCCATTTTTTCTTACCGCAAAAATAACAATATATTTTTGGAAAAATAGATGATTACAATATTAAAGTTATTTTTTTTTCTTTTCACATTAGTCGATAATATATGATAAAAGAAAAAAAGAACTTTAATATTATAACTATTTACTTTTCAAAATAGATAGTTATAAGATGTTAGAAGATTTTTTATTTTTTTTTTAGCAACATGACAACCTATTATCCCATAAATAAAAGAGACAAGGGCAACTAAGATAGATTACAGCAATATATCTTGCTATGTTGGGATAGCATTACCTCAAAGCCAAGCTGGTGTTAAGAATATTGAAGGCCTCCTAGTACCTTCAATGGCTATTTTTGACCGAGATCTGGTGGGTGGTGGCCATATGAGAATCGTAGAAGATAACTAACATGGAATATACAAAGTGGTCTTGATCTTCGATTGAAAATAATGACAACAAGGGCCCCATAAGTTTGATTCCAAGCTTAAACCACTTTTGCATGACACGTGGAAAGTGGAATTCAACATTTATAATTACTACGATGATGACTAGTGACTACTAGGAAAATCATCACGAGTTTGAACATTAATTAAACCGAACTAACTCACAGTAAAACTTGGAAATTTTGGATTACAAGGGTCCCAAAACTCGATAGCAAATGGGAACCAATTTAGTGACACTACCATTTTTCGTTGGTTGTCCTTTGTCCAATTGAAAGTGGAGGACAATAATGACATGTTACTATTATGATTTATGAAGACAATTTTATTTTTCCAATAATATTCACATTAGAGACTAATTTTATTTATTTTTTATTTTATTTTCTCTTTGACCAAGTTAATTAAATGGGCTTTGTGGTTTCATAACAATGGCCAGAAAGAAAAGTTCATAAAACAAGCTGTGATCTATTCAAGTGTAATGGACTTTGCTGATGGCATTTACAAATAGTAAGTGGCTACAACAGTAACAAATAAACAGCAAATTGAGACCCTAAAAGGGAACAAAAAAGTGATAACTATTTTGTTTTCTTGCTTAAAGAAGAGGCAAGCCAAAAGCTTGAATGAATAGTCTAGTTGTTATGATTGTGTGCATAACTGAGAAGGAAGTTTGGGTTATCCGTAAAGCCGGCTAGAGAAAGAGTAATGACTCTTCGATGTAAATTCAAGCTATTGACTGCTACATTTTATGACTATATAAAGCAGAGAGATTCACTTCTTTGTGATGATGGAATCATTCTTTTAAAAAGAAAGTTGAAATGACCCCTAGAAATATTAAAGGAGCGCACATGATAGGGATTAATTAACAGCTTAGTTAAACCAATGTGGCTACATGCAGGTCTAAGGTTCTAGATTTTGAGCTCTCAAATCAAAGTCATTGTAATTTGACAGGTTACAAAAGCAAACAAAAGAAGAAAAACAAAATAGTTAGCATAGCTTCGCTGGCATGGCTTGTGAACAGAACTGAATTAGTGGACAATTAGGAAATTAGGATAGTATATCATCGAAAGAAGAGTAATGTAATTTTATTTTTTTTAACAAATCCTCTTAACTTTTAATTTCTTAAAACAGAAGTTATAAACAATTAAAATATATTGGAAACTAAAAAAGGTGTTTAATATTTTTTTAAGTGATTAAGAGAATTATTAACCAGATTCATTAAGAAGATATAAAGTTAGGGAAATATTTTTCTCATTTCGTTGGAAATAGCTATCTCATATTATACACTCTCATTGAATTTTGTGTCAGTTTTTTCCATTTTTTTTCTTTTGTTTTAAAGTGTAGACCCCACATCTTTATTTCAGACACATGAGAAAACTATTTCAAGCAACATAAAATTAGTAACTCCGGTAAAGTTATAGTTGAAAGAAGGTGGGGATAGAGTTGAAGTAAGTGGATCCACACATGCAATAAAAGCCTCCAATTATCAAAAGTCATGCACAAATGAAAAAGTGATGGGTGGGGTGCCCATGTATTAAAATTTATATTGACACTTTGACAGTCATATCCTTTAATGATGCAAAATTCCAATTAGATACCTCTTCTATGGAAAATTGGCATGCTTCACTATTTCATTCTAAATTCCCTAAAATGCCTTTGTGAGCAACTACAATTTGTAGTGTCTGTACTTGGTCAACGATAATCTGAAGTTTATGGTCAAGGACAAGGTAAAAGTCTCAAATTCAATATAAACACATAAACTGGGCACAACTTAAATAGTAGAAGAATAGTTGAGAATTTCAAATTGGGTTAGGGGTCTTAAAACTTTATTCCCATGTAAACCAGTAGAAGAGGGGAAAATGGGTAAGAAAATTCAGTTAGGTCAGGTCTATTATGGTTAGTGTCAAATTGAGATTCAAGAAAAGGTTAGGTAATTAGGTTAAGATTGAATAAATCAAATAATTGTTTTATCCATTTAATTATTTTAATGTACACAGTGTACTACTTTGTTTTGTGAGTTACATTTTTAAATAAAAAAAGTACAGCAGTAGGACAATGAAAAGATGATACCATACCACACCACCTCATAGTTCTCAATCATCAACTATTTAAAACAATGGTTAGACACTAACTTCAGCACTAACTTTCTGTGGAGCCCTTTGGACATTGTCTAAACCAATCTATCAAATCCTGAAACTGGTAAGCATGGAGTTCTGTTGGCAAAAATCCATCCATGGTTCTTAAAAGAAGCATGGAGAATAGTGTGAAAGGCTCCTCACCCCTCACACTTCACCACTTTTAAAAGTTTGCTTGTGCTTAGCTATTGGCTTCTGTAATCACCTAGGGATATGGTCAAACATTCTCTGTTGAGTAGCAGAAGCAGATATGCATTCTCCAAAGGAGTAGAGGCTTTGGTTAGAGCCTGGCAAACCGGCAAGTCACAAAAAGGCAATGGACTCCATTAGGGGTCCTTATGGCTATCTATCGCTCAAACTATATAGTTCTTCTTGTAGTATAATGTAATAAACAAATGAAGGTCTTCCTTTGAGAAGTTACCAACTTGTGCTGTTTAAATCACTCAATTTGCAGCTGAGTAGAATCAGTTTCTTGCTTCAGTTTCTGCAGATGAGTTGGTAGGTAATTGTGATCATTCCTGTCCCTTCTTCTCTTCCTGTGTCTTTGTTCTTTTCTTTTTCCCGTGCGTGTTTGTTTTGTTGGTGTTATGAGTTATGATCTTATGAGCAATAAAAGAATAGAAAATTCTAGTTCCTCAAAGTTTAGAATTTGTTACATTAAACTCTCACCCTTACACCTAATGCTGTTGCATTTCTGATTTTACTGACATGGGAAGTTGTTCGGGGGACTCAATTGATAAACTAGTTTATCCTCTTCATATAAAAAGCATCCTCATAAACAAACATTTCATGTCCTGAAAAAGTGAAATGAAATCATAAAACTTGTTAGGTTAGAATGGTCTATCATAGGTTCTCAATGGTTGATACGTGTAATGTTGTGTGATTAACGCTTACTTAACTATTACTCTTAAGTTGAAGTCAATAATTAAAACCATTTCAATCAAGGCCACGTTTCTGGTTGTCGTCTCCCTTGAACTGTAATATTTTAAAGTTCGGAGTTAACCAACAAAATTTTGGTCGTTCACTAAGGGAACCAATCACCATATAGTTGTCATTAGAAATAAGTTGATTTTAAAGTTAAGAGGCTTCATATATAATGCGTATATGAGGATACTAATGATAGTCGAAGCAGATGTCTATTCGTCTCGTTTATTGGCTTAATGAGGATCACCAATTATTGGTTAACATTTTAGGAGTGACCTAAGTTAAAAAGGTGCCACCAATTCTCTCCTTTGCTAAACCCCAAATGGAAAGCACGTTCCCAATGCCATTGTAGTAGTTAGAAGATACGAGGTTTAGAACAGAAATTTGCCACTTCATCAAATTAGCCAATTGGAGTGCCCTTTCATTTTAAACAGACATTTTTTTTTTTGTCATAAACTTTCCCTCGTCCCAGGCATCACAAGAAATAACTTTTTCACAATTCTGATCCTTCATTTTCCTCCGTAACTAATCCAAGGCAAAAAATCAAACCATACTTTTAATGTATAAATTCTACAGCTTTCGTAGCATTCATTATGACAGCTGTGCTTGCAAGTAGATGAATACAGAAAATACATATAAACTTGTCACTCTAATTTGTCATCTTCTACACAAACTATACCTCGAGACACCCTTTGTGGTGGACACCCAAACGTGGGAAACCAAGGAATATACACGTGTTGAAACTTGAAACTAAACATGTATAAAGAATCAGAAATTGGGTATGGAACGATTTTGAGGAATTTAGCTCAGTTTTTCCAATTTCCTTTACCATATTTTAAGAGAGAAGCATACAGTAATTCATTCCAAGTATCTGGTACTCCAGGCAGGCACCAATGACTGCAATCTTGGTGTAACTCAGCAGAGGTTCGTTCTGCTGATGTCTTATATTCCATTCTGTATATAGAAGGATGCCCATCTTTTCTGTAATCTGTAAGCCTACTTATGTTCATATATATCACTGGAGTTTTCATCTTTGGGATGACATGCTCTAACGCCCTCATTTTTGAGGGATGTTTCCGTAGGTGAGTTCCATTATATATTGGCTCGGTTTCTTTGTGGCACTGTCCTCCTGAATTCCATTGCCCACCCCTGAAACAATGTCAGACAGTATTAGAATTTATTAAGGCATACTGGTTGAATATGAACCAGCATAGTGCTAATGTATACAATTGAGATCACAACCTAGGACGACTTAACCACTGCTTATGGTTAAGTCAAATGGTAAGATATGTTATTGATAAGTTGTCAATTGTAATATAATAGACAGCTTAAATGGTAAGAGCTTAAGCTGTACCCAGTATTTTATGAATATGAATCAGTACATTGCTAAGGCACACAATTAGTAATATGCATTATTGTACAAAAACTATAAATAAAATTTCAAGAGTCGATGATACTCTTGAATTGGCTATCAATTAAGTTGACAACAAAAATGAAATATCAAATATTGAAAGCAAGCCCGCATAAATGGTTGGTTTTTCTTTAAAAAAACCTGCTGAATATTAAACCAATCATCACAATAATATAGATAAAGTACAGAGGTTTCACACAGGAAAAAAAATATAAAGTAGATAAAGAGCATCACAATACCTAGTTTGTCAACTGTTGACATTATTTAAATTAAGCTACTAAGAAATTTCTGATTATATCTCTAGACTTTGGAAATAAACCGATCTTGGGCAATGTTCAGACTTTGAAGTATACTATCATATGGTTCCCCAATCTCATCCTTCCAACAAAAAAATTTGCAGAAGGGTAAGTGACCACATTGATAGTCAATAGCAGAGAGATAGGAATTTGGCAAGTTTGCATGCCTAGTTTTAAATAATACATAAATTTCCAGCCATGAAGTTCAACTAATTTTAGAGCCTATGTAAAGGAAGCAAACAGTAGCAATCCAGACTCTATCAAACTTTGGAAGCTATGTAAAAGACCAATACCTGAAATGGGTCACTGAGTATCCTCTGAAGAAAACCTGAGTTCGATTTGCATCAATATTGTTGTTGATCCATCTAGCCCAAGTGGTCAATGCCCTTGTATATGCATCTAGAACTTTGAGTCTTGGGTACACATGGTTGCCTTCTTGATAATAGTCTTCTCTGTAATAGTACCGGATGATAGCAAAATGAAAAACCTTAATTCCACATGCAATCTCAAATGACAGATTTGAAAACATATGACCATATGGTATGCAGGAACTTGAATCAAATGTCATGCTAAAATTCTGTTGTAATTCACAAAACAGTAAACACTATAAGGTAGAAAAGATACAGAGGAGGGGACAAGACAAGATATTAATATCTTGATTAGAAAATCAATCTCACATGGCGAAATTGTAAACATAATGTATGCAGGAAGTTGATTCAAATATCATGCAAAAATTCTATTGTTATTCACCTTCATGCAGCACCATTCTAATCTATAGAATTCAAGACCACTTCTGAGCTTAGAATCATATACAATGTGAATTGTGAAGGCAATGTTTACATAGCAACAGACTGAACTCACCCCTTAGATGTTTTCTCATGGGTCCACCAATGGCCTGTATTGAAGACTATGATATCGGCATCATGATACATGGTAGTTGTCTGGTCCATCAAATCCAATCTTAATGTCTCAAATGACCCATTTATGCCTTTGAAAGTTGACTCTCGAACAATGAATGGAGAACTAACAAAGTCCACTGAACAATTATAATCCTATAAATACAGCAATTTTTTTTTTAATGAGATACCATTACAAGATTTATACCAAGCAAAATCACAAGAGATGTACCAGAAACTCGCCTCAAATCTAAAAGCATAGACACCTTTCTTCTTAAATTTCGTTCTTCCTGAAATTTCAAAAACACGTTTCTTGTCCCTGATGCTTTGACGTAGGATACACACCATGGACTCCCACATGTTCCTGTTCAGTGAATCCCCCACAAAAACCAGTCTCTGCCCTCTCAATTTTTCCAGAAAATCAGTTGCATTCAAACTGAGAGGTGACATAAAAAATTAGTAAACCATACCAGGAAAGAATCCAAAAGAGAGTTTCTTTGAATGAGGGATATTGAGAGGGGTGGAAGGGTAAAGGATGGTAAGGGAACAATTCCCCTTGTTTGGCTTAAAACTGGGAAGGGAATGTAAGTGAAATAATTCTCCCTCAAACAAACTTTTTGTTGCCCTCCACATGGTGGCAATGGTTGAGGGGAGGGGGATAGCTTTTCTTTCAATTTAAAATCTTATTATTCATATTTTATCCATAAATTGGGTTACTGAGATTTTACACAAGTAAACTAGCATTTTGGTCCTTGGAAATGTATCTCACTCCAATTTACTCAATTTGACACCAATAATCGTTTACCTCTACTTTCTTTCCTTAAATAGAAATCCAAACACAGGAAACGTAGCTCTTTCTCCCTTCTATCCCTTTCTCTCTATATTATCCCGTTCCCTTCCCTTCCCTTTTCCATTCTATCCCATTGTCTCCAAAACTTTCAAGCATTTATAATAAGTAAGGAGGACCAAGTTGCTGTTTTATATTCTGCAGTCATATAGTCCACCAGCAGCTTTCATTCTTTATTTAATTTATTATTATAAACATATTGAATCTTTCACATTTGCTATTCTCATAAGAATATAGACAAATTGCTCCTTCTTCTTTTTTACCCTATTCTAAATTAATAATATTTCCAAGTTGTTTGTGACAAACAGTAATCATACCTTGGAATGTCGCATCCATTTGGCTGCCATTTCCATTTCACATATTCGCTATCAGGCCTCCCATTAAGATGACAATCAAAATCCCTATCTATGTGGGGACAAGAACCTAAGGGATAGTATGGCTTTGAATCATCTCTCACCCAATTACCATCAAAGATATCACAATTCCCATGGAAACCAACCTGCATTTTACCCTGTCGTGAATCATGACCAATCACAGTAACATTGCTTTTCTCAATCATCAACTTCCCTTCTTCACCAGGATTTCCATTGCATGACGAATTTCCCACGTTGTTGTTTTTCTGCATCACCGTTTTTGCTTCACCGGAAAGACTTGAATTCGCAGAAAATTTTCTTTTCTCACCCGGCAAGGGTTCATCTTTGACCACCCCATTAGGATCCGAGAAATTTTCCTTCTCTGGGGTTAAGGCACCATTTCCCACACGGGTTGTTTCCTGAGGAAAACGTTGCTCTTCAACATGCAAGCTTGCATTATCACGGTTCTCAGTAAGATTCCCCAAATGGGTCTTCTTCTCCAAACCCTTTTCCCCCACAGCACTTCCTTCTTCAATCCTCTGCATAGAACTCACAGAAGCATTGCTCGCAGAGGAAGAGGAAAAAGGGTAAGTTGAAATGCGAAAATGCCAAGAAGAAAACGAAGCAGCATCAGATCGTTGTAGAAAGACTTGAACTTGAGGAGCCTTGAGAGAACTATTGAGGAAGAGAAGAGTGAGAAAAAGGAGAGAAACTCCAACACCTAAACTATACCCAGAAACAACCTTTCTCCTCTGAGACATAAAGAGCTCCGAGAATGCAAGCCTCTTTGAGTTGTTGGAATCCATGGAGATTATAACCCTCTTCTTGTTCACAACAAAAAGCCAACGCATAGAACAAAAAGACAACGTGTTTCAGGGTTCACAGATCACACTCACAATATGTCGTTTTGAATGAAAAAACAGCGCTGCGAATGTGATAAGGAAAATAAAGGCTTCCACTGTACATGAGAGAGAGAGAGAGAGAGAGAGAGTCATCAAGTTTTGAACTATGAACCCTTGCAAGGGTGTAATTACGATAGGTCTCTCTTCCCATTACAATGTGATTAGCCCTTAATCCTGCGAATATGCAATTGAAAAAAATCCCTTGATCATGCAACGTTCTACATTATCCTTTTTTTTCTTTTTTCTTTTTTTCGTGTTTCTCCCAAGATTAACCTTAAACCCTCAAATTCACATTAAAAAATAAATAAATGTTGTTAAAGTGTTGAGTCTGAACCAGTCATGAGTTGCTGACTAACCAAAATTTTCTTAACTGAAAGAGATCAAAATAAAATTTGTTGAAATTTAGTTCTAACTTTTAGATCTATGCTATCTGTAATTAGAGAAATTCGAAACGAACCACTTTCTAACAACTAATTATTTCCTTCCCTTAAACTGAATAGCAATAATAAAAGTTGCCTTTTAAAATTCAAATTTCAATGTTGCGGTTATCTAATATGAAAGAGGCTGCCCCAAATTCAGTTACATCATTGTCAAATTACTTTTTTATCCTAAATAAACCTGATTGAAAAAATTATATCAATTACATTACATATATTGGAGATTGAATAATAACATTTGCTACCTTATACAAACATATAAACATGATAACTTTTTTTAATGAACATATAAACAAGATGACTTATCCATACAAAAGTGGTGATTGGTCATTGGTGTGTTTAAATAAAATTGACATTTAATGCAAATAAATGGCATAATAATTTCGGGATGTGTATTAGAATGCAAAATGCCAAATTGAATTCCTACCCGTTGGAGCATTTTCTCTTTTATCAACTTCTTGGATTTAAAAAAAAGAAGAAGTTCATATCCATTGTTTCTTGCCCTAAAATAGTAACAGTAGCAATGCATTAATGTAGAGACGTTAAGGGGTAGTTTCGTCAATGAAGAGAAGCCCCACCAAAGCTTTGGGTTCTCCAAGGCCCAAAATAGAGCAAAACAAAGTAACAAATCACGCCGACAAACAATGTGATACGTGGCGGCTTAATAGGGTACAACTACAAACTTTCTCGTGACGGTGGTGGTGCGTAGCACCGACGAAGTACATGCAATGTGATGGTGACACGTGGCGAATCTAAGAAGCAGTGGGCATGGTGATTTGGTTTGGGGAAAGGGAGCACGCTGGTGTGGGTACACATGCGAACTTTCTCTTTACAGTGTGCTTTTGGTCGTGGGCTTGGGGCTGGAATTGGTGTGAAAGGTTAGTAATATATTTTTTAATTTGAAATATATAATTTTAATAATAAAAAAAATGTTATCAGTATTATTTTTTTTTAGGAAAAAACATATATACTTTTAAAAGATAGATCTTAACTGTTAATTTCCGACCCTCAACGGTTATAATTTATTGAATCAAATTTAATGGGTCAAATTTATTATTAATTAATTAATAATTTTGATCCAATAAATTATAACTGTTAATGAAAGAAAATCAATAATTAAAATCTAAAATGATATAAATTTATATCTTTTAAAATAATAGATGTTATTTCTTTATTTTTATGATTTATAAACTATCTTGTGCCCTTTCACGTGGTAATAAGTATTCCGCTTTTTTATATCCGTACAGCTAATCTGCTGCAACGTGTATATTTACCATGGTTGGGATTCGCCACGACACCTTTATATGTATCAACTATGAAGTTTAACAATAATAATTAAATAAACAATGTGTTACGCGGAAAATTGTAAATATTAGAAGAGGACGGGTCAGTACATAGGGGAATGGTGGCTAAAGCATGATAAACCTGAAACCTACTAGGCTCTCAACAACCTAAACTTCGCAATTAATTCTCTAACCAAATTTCTTTTATTGTTATCTGGTGAACAAATATTTGTTAATATTGATTAAACTTATAATCTTCCTGTATTTGATTAGAATCTAATAACTGATAACTATTTAATGACTCAAATGTCTCAGTAACTTTCCCTTAAACATACATTAGACAATAAATTTTTTAAAAAGTATATATATTTAGTGTTAGAATATATTATTAACTCAATAAAAGCTTAATACTAGAGATAAGTTACCATATTAATCTCATTATTTTTACAAGTATTTTTTTTCTTCTGTGGAGTACATGCTCAATTTAGCAGTTCCTAGTTAGTTAACTAGTGCAATCCACTAGCACTTAGCAACTTCTATTTGGCTAATTTCTCCTATTCTGCTATCTTTGGAGTTTTTAACTCATTCAAAATAAAAAACAACATTTGCAACCGCGATCTATTTCGTTATTTATTAACTTATATAATAAATGTATACGAAATATCCGAGTATAAGTATTACTATATAAAAATAATATATCCATTATTTATGTTTAAAAAGAAGTACTTATTCTTTAAAGTTATTGCTTTAAAAAGAACTAATACTCCCAAGCTAATATATAAGAGAAGCTTTCAATTTTCATCAGCTAGTCTTTTTACAAATTATTTCATTTAATTATTACAGAACTTATTGTTTATAATTTAATTATAAGGTAACATTTTTACTTTTAATAGTACAATTCTTTTTAGGGTTTTATTAATCTCATGTTAAAGGAGATAAATTATCTCATGTCATAGAGATAAATTTGTGGACTCCACTACTTGAAAAAGAAAAAGAAAATGTGACACAGTTATCGAAGGGTGTGTAGGAGAGAAAGTTATCACATGTAACATGAGAGTAGTTTTTCCCTTCTTTTTATATGGACATATAATCATCTTAAGTCTTAACAGCAATCCCTTGCCATATGCTTAGATTTTATTTGCTAGACTATGTGCACATATAATCTTCTGGTTAACAAATCGGTGCTTCTTCTTGATCAACCAGCATCAATTGGAGGGGGTTTGTAACTATATATAACTCTCATTTATCTTGTACAGACCTAAAATAGTCTACCTCTTGTATATTGATCTATATATTGAATGGAAAACATAATCAGAGACCAATGGCCCATTCATCAAAATTATATATCATTTCAACGTACTATACTTTAAAAATTAAAAATTCTAAGATGCTCATTCCAAAGTCAAAGCATGCCACAAGTTCCACCATACTTACGAATTACCTACCAATGAAAGATCACCAGCAACTTACAAAAAAAAAAGATCACCAGCAAGAATCAGCATACTAATTGTTGATCTATGAGACACTCACCAACCATTCAAATTTATTAGGTTTTAGGGGTGAAGATGCGTCAAAGACAATAAATACTCAGCTGGCTATATGGGATTACTTAGCCATCAAGACAAACAGCAAGTACAGGTTAGGTGCAACTACGTACAATTTTCTAACATTGATTCAAAAATTTTCTGAAGCAACTAAATCAACATTCCAACGAAGAAGTTACTTATACATGACTTTCCTTTTTTTCTTTTTACAGATGAATACAAGCATTACATAGCTATTGACACTAATGACGACGCCATTTTTAACCATTTAAACTACACCTTTTAAACAAGGAGCTATAGTGGAAAACCAAGATGCTTGTCACCTAGGGCCAGAAAGCTCCATGGCTTCTACAATGAGTGAAGATTCCTCTATAAAATCTGAATATCTTTGAGGGGGGTTCTCACAAGACCGGAACCTTGGTGTTTCAATCCTCTGTGAGGTCTCCCATCTCTCAGCTAAGCCATCCTCTTCCAACATCTTTAATACTTCTGACATCTTGGGACGGTGTAAGGGATTAAATTGTGTACACAAGAGTGCAACCTGAACCATTTCTTCCAATTCAACCAGGTCAAAATTTCCCTTTAAATCTTTATCTACCATTTGACTTAATCTTCCGTCCTGATGGAGCTTCTTAACCTGAAAGTTGTTTGATTCAAATTAAACAAAAGAATGGTGATTCAAGAGGGGAAAAAAACCTATCTTGTAGACCCAATTACTAAATGTAAGGGGGGAAAAAAAATTGTAGTTTAAGTGGTCAATTTTTAAAATACCAGATCCTATTTAGAAGAGAAACTAGTCAAGTTCTCTATCCATTAAATTTTCTTGGAAGACAAGCTATATGTCATATAAGAGGAAAATTGTTCAGAGTGCAAACAAATCATTCATTGTAAGTTGTGGAAATAAATATACTGCTAGAACATGTAAAAGCTTTGTATGCTAACTAAAGAAGAAAAGAAAGATAGCGAGAAGAGAGTGAAAGTCTAGAGAAAGAGAGTACCCAATCAAGCATTACACCTTTCTGGTTTGCAGCTCGCCCAAAATCTAGAGCTTTATGACCTGTGATCAGCTCAAGCAGCAAGATTCCAAACCCAAACACATCAGTCTTTTCTGATGACTGGCCAGTGGATAGGTACTCTGGAGCAATGTGACCAACAGTGCCACGCACAGCAGTGGTCACATGGGAGTCTCTGTGATCCAGAAGCTTAGCTAAACCGAAATCACCAACAACAGCTTCAAAATCTTCATCTAGCAATATGTTTGCTGCTTTGACATCACGGTGAATAATTTTGGGGTCACATTGCTCATGCAAATAAACCAACCCTCTTGCTGTACCTAAAGCTATTTTCTTCCTCCTTGTCCAATCTAAAGCTGGCCGTCCATTAATATGGTCTGGTATATAAATCCAAAACCAAAGTCAGAGACTAGGGTACAGTTTCAAATGGTCTTGTGGAATTAGAGTATAATTATTAATCTCAATCATAAGCAGCTTAAGAAAATGGTCGCTTGGCAAAAAAAAACAAAGAGACAGTAAATGAGAACGATGAAGAGAGACACTCCCATAGAAGACAGGCAATAAGTTATCTGTGACTTAATAGTAAGTCACCATGAAAAGTTACCCTCAAGGTAGCCTGTGATAGCAATTCTTTATATCAGTTTCTTTATATCTATTCAGCTTGTGAAGATAATTTGTGCAAATGTTTCCATGCTATTAACGATCATATTTAAAAGTAAGAATTTAGGGAATTTGGAAAAGGTAATTTGGATCGATGCATTAGACTCCTCATGGATCTATAGATTGTAGTAGCAGGCCATCACAGTATGCCATCTGGCAAATAGAAGGAACTTGGAAGTTCCTAGGACTAGGAGACCAAGCAGCACTTTTATGTTGGATACTTTTTAATGCAGTGAAGTAGCAGTGGCAGTAAAGGATCCATGGGAATAAAGTATTCATCCTTCTCCTATGGACATAATTGCAGCAAATAGTGTTTTCACCGATGTAGCCTATTCACACCAGCTCAATACATACATGGTTATCTGACTGTTTTTTTTTTTTTTTTGAGATATTTCAATCGGGTCATCGCTTCGCGACTAGTCCGATTCGAGACAGATCCTGGGATTAAGGCTTTAAACCCCTCCCAAAAACGGTACCGGGAAAGATCAAACACATGCTCTCACCTCCACTTGCTCAGTTCCCTGGCACCAACTGAGCTACTATTATTTGGTGACTATGGTGTTTGTTGACACAAGTAAACAACAATATATAGTTGAAGTGATTGTACAACAGGTTATTATCAGTTGATAAAAAAACAAAGTGGACACAGTACACCTAGTTCCTTAGATGCTGGTTAGGTAAACAACAGAATATAATTAAAAGGGGCAACATAAATAAAACCCACCTTTTATGATGAAAAGTTCAATGAGCTAACCTTTTAATCTAGAGGCTACACTGCCGTTAGACATGTATGGATAAACGAGGAGCCTTTCATTCTGAGTACTGCAAAACCCGCAAAGCCTCAAAAGATTCCGGTGAACAGCCAAACTTATTGTCTCAACTTCTGTCTGAAATTGGATCTCACCACCAGCTGCATTATAGTCCTTTAACCTTTTAACCGCCACAACAGACCCATCATTCAAGCACGCCTTGTAAACTATTCCAAAGCCACCTCTTCCTAGAATATTCTTTGAGTTGAAATGGTCTGTTGCAGCTCGGAGCTCTTTGAACGAATATCTTTTTAAATGACCTAGGCGCACCTCTGGGTCGTAATGCTCTGCCAAGTAACAAACTTTTACTGAGAATGCATAGAATAAAGAAGAATCCCAAAAAATACATTCACACAGACATAACAATACTCAGCACCAAGAAAGTCTAGACCAAATATCAAATCGATGTAGGATGCATGATATGAGAAGGTGATCCTTATGTTAAGAATCACATTAACACGAGCAGGAATGTTAACTCTCAAATTCTACCTTCTAAAATACTGATTACGTGTTACTCCAAATTAAATTTCAAAACTAGGATTTTCAACAATTTTTCCAAGCAAAAATAGAAAATTGACAATTTTTATTGATCATGCTGCAAAAAGTTGCCAGTAGGGAAAATATCTCGTAGTCATACTTCATTACATGCATGAAAAGTCATAGTGTTGCTTTAATAAGGTTCAAATAGTTGGAGAGTAATCAATACAATCAAGGAATAATGTAATGAGTAGCAAGGGTCAGAAACAGACATAAATCCATTGAAAGCGACATAGACATAGATGTAAATTTCTTGAAAAGAATTACTAAATGATTGTGTGCTCCTGATATTGCAGGGATGATCAGATTCTTTACGAATTTTGCAACAAATTTCACTAATACAGTGTTACAGATATAAAAAAATAGAAGTATAAAAGGAAAGGGGGGGAGCTTTAGCAAGGACTAACCATTAATATCAAAGAAAATCTGCTGGTTGTGTCTATACCGCCACCAAACGAGAAACCCAACTATAATCACAATGACAAAAGCAGCACCAAAACTTGCACCAAAAGCAAGTGCCACATTATGGCTTTTTTTACCAGAGTCTGATTGGGCTAGAAAAAAATCACCACATCTAAGCATGTCATACAATTGTTAGAAATAAGTAAATTGAAAGTAGAGTACAAAGATAGACGTCATTAACACCTCTTAGTGCATCTGGGGGAAAGGAAAGTGGCTCTGGTAGAACAGTAGAACAGTTGTTTGCTTTTGGACCACAAATTAATGGGTTACCCACAAATCTGATGAAAATAGTTGAGCAAGAGATTAGCTACACCACTTTTTCGTAAACTTGAATATAGAAGTAAAGACAAGAGGAAACCCAAATGAACTTACTTTAATGTTCTTGCTGATATTCTTGGCAAGGAACCACTCAGATTGTTGTAGGAGAGGTCCCTACATATATTTAACAAAAATTGGATGGGGCAAAAAAATAAAATAAAATAAAATAACGGGGCAATAAAGTAACAAAGACCTACACGAGGGTTAGACCATCAATGTTGCTAAGAGATTGAGGGCAGGCTCCTGAAAGGCTGTTATTATTCAACCGCCTAGCATGCACATTAGACGATTTAAATGGAGTGAGAAACACGATTTCATAAGTCAGCGTCATCAAAGCAATTATCAAACTCATAATCTTTACGACAGTTAACATCTGTACAATATAAAAGCTTTTGTAACTTACAAATAATTCAGGTTCTTGAGGCCTCCCAAAGAACTGGGTATCTCACCACTAAATGCATTATTGGAGAGATCGAGTGTCTGAAGCTTTTCCAGGATTCCTATTGCAGCAGGAATCTGACCAGAAATGGCATTATTCTGAAGCAACCTGTATATGTGTACAATTATTTAAGAATCAATATAATTTCCTTCACTCTGTCTGCTTACAACTCTCACAACCAAACCAACATGCAAAACAAAATCCCGATAAAATAAGTTAATAAAAATGAGCATAGACTTACACAGATTGTAAGTTAGTAAGGTTTCCAATCCAAGGAGATAGTGTACCAGACAAGTTCTGACTAGGCAATCCCCTGGTAAGAAAAAATTTCATTTTAATGAGAATCAAACTAGTAAAAGTTATTTGGTTCATTTTCTAATGAAGAGCTCATGAAACTCGTTTGCCACTTCCAAAAACACTTAAAATCTAAACAACTTACAATGCAGAAACGGAGCCATCTTGAGAACAAGTAATCATCCTCCAGCTACAGGGATCAACAGAATTAATATCCCAATTCTCCAGGACATTGTGAGGATCAATCAACTCATTCTTTATGGCCATAAGAGCTACAACTGTTCAAGGAATAAACAGAAGAGGGTTAGAACTTTCATCTGAAAATTCTCTTCTTTTTCCAGCACAAAAAGAAAAAAAGAAAATTGATGAACCACATAAAAAAAAAAAAAAAAAGACACACACACACACACAACACAAGTACTGAAGTACAGGCCCGCCCAGACGGCCAGACCCCAACCCCCTAGAAAAAATACCCTGGGGAAGAGGAATCGTAGTAAGGTCTCTTATGCTATTTTGTTATAGGTAATTAGGTAGAACTTAAATTCTCTAGGAAAACGAAAACGAAATAAGTCATAAAATAGCATTACCGTGCCTAGTAGTTTGCAGCATAATTAAATTTCCCAATATGCTCAATTTTTGTGCCTTAAATTATCAATTAACAATCTTTCTGTTCATGACTTTTACCAAAGATCACAATGAACAAATTGGAAAAAAAAGAAAAAAAGAGAACAAATCCCAAGAAAAAAATAACCTTCGTAGTTTATGCCAGAAGGAGAAAGAGCAGCAGAAGAAATCTTCATCAACACCAGAAGAAGTAAAACCGGTAGCCAGAAAACCGAAATACTAAGTTCCATACTCCTATTATCAGTTCAGTAACTCTGTCACCCTTACACAACCAGTAGCCAGTGCTCAAAGACACCACAATTAACAATTATACTCCTCATTCTCACAAAGAAGGTCGAGTCTGCATCACCTTAGCCAAACAAAAAAGGCCACTCTTTTGAATCAGATTCCCATAAAGCAATCCCACTCTCACCAAAACAGCAACTTTCCTCAAGACCCAATTCAAGGAACATTAAACCAACAGAACCCACATGCCAAAATTGCTTCTTCTTCTTTTATCCCACCACAGAACCAACTTGGAAATGAAGAATTTGAATCCAACAAGGACAAATGAGAAATGTATGAGCTCAAGCGAGCAAGCACAGAAAAAGAACAATACTTTATTGAGAACAAACCGAAGTTCAAGCCTGAAATTCTGAGATCCTTGAGATCTGTGAATGGTGGGTTTGATTTCTATAAGGTTTGGACAATCCCCACAAATTCCATGTGAGTTTGTCGTTGGTTTCTAGCCCTTTTGTGTTAGTTCCCGGTGATTCCACTACCATTATCTTCTTTCTTTTGCAGTTGCAGAGAATAAAAAGGAGCTGAGCATGAAACACAGTCTCACCCCAAACAAAGAACCAAACAAAGGACAAGACAACATGCCAAAAGTGGACACAAATGTAGAGGCACAACCACACCCAGCAACCAAAATTTCTTTTTAATTTAAATAATAATAAACTATATTATTATTAATAATATTATTATTATTTTTTCCCTTATAAAATGAACATTGGAGTGAAGGTATCAGGTATGTGTGGGATTGATGAGAGAGAATAAAGGGAATGGGATGTGGGTGATGCAAAAGAAAATTTGGTTGATGGCAGGTAAAATTTTTAGACAGGTCACGTGGTTGGATTGTCTACACCTTTTGTTTGCTTTTGGCTTGAAAATATAACTTTTTCAGAATTTGGGGAAAATAAATATCAATATATGAATCGAATCACATTCTGCAATCTGCAGCTGATCATGGCCCACCATGCTAAATTGCGCTTCATGCTTATTTAATAAACTACTATAGCGTAATCATCCATTTTGTTACTTTGCTATTAGTTAAGTTTTTTAAAAATGAATTTTTTATTTTTTATTTTTTATATATAAATTATAAGAATGAAGAATTAAAATAATGTTACCTTTTGTATTTTACATTTAAATTATAATCAAGAACTTATCAACTATATATTACTTCAGTGAGAATTGTACATAACTACACACATTGGGCACATTTATGACTTTAAACTGCATTAGTCCTATCATTCCATTTTCAGATTTAAGATGGCAGTAACAGCCACTACATGATACATACAAATCACATCTAGAGGATGAAACGATGAGGTTCTTTGATTTCCTTCTTTATTTTGGGTAATATGACAAATAATGTGATGTAATGTTAATATTAACATTTGCTTAAATAAAGTAGTTTGTTGAGGTAAAAATATAAAAAAAAAAAAATCATATTCATAGAAGGGAAGAAGGGGAGAGCTAAAATACGCCGGGTGTGGAGGTGCAGTAACTGGAATGAACTGTGCTTTTTTATTTTATTTTATTTTTGTTGGATAGCGAAAGATTGGAATCTCTACGATGCGCCCACCGCGACATCCGCATTATGCCTTGGCATATCTGGTTATTTCTGAAATTACTGTTTTTTGGCTTTATTATTTTTTATTATGAGATTTCTTAACATTATTCTTTCATAATGTATTACTGAATTATTTTTAAAAAATTATTTGTTCACAATTATTATTTATAAAATACTAACATTTTAATGATATATCTTTTCCTAGAATTTTCTTTTTTCTTCATGTTAATTATTTTCTGTTTCTATATATACACGTGCTGTGCCCAGGGCTTTGTTTGTCCCTTTCAAAAGATAAGGGGTATACTATGGTTGCGAGCCAACCACAACAGCTACTTCTATTATTAGGCACACCCACTTCTATTAAAGAAAAAATTGCAATTAGTTTACTTACCTCGGAGAGATTAATTTATGCAACATAATCATAATTATTGAAATTCCCAATAGTTTACAAACCTAACTCCTGAGGTATTTTTGTCGCATTGGGAAAGCTGAATATTCCTTGTGTATTAAACAATGTTTTTTTTTTTTTTTTTTAATTTCTTTACTCTTAATCTTTGCTTTAAACATTTGCAATGCGTTCAAGACAAGACTGTGAAACACAAACACCAATCAAAGGCCATGGCTTTGGGAAGAACAAGGATGAACATAGATTGGCACTCAGGAATGACTAATGATAGTCCCACATTTTTTAGTACATGATTACATATTTATTAGATTCTTTTTAAATTACTAAATAATGACGCGTTTCATGTGTTTTTGCTTACTTTTTTTGCATAATTTAAATTATTCATTCTTTTACATTAGTATAAGACGCCAAGATGTTAAAAGAATTTTATTTCAGTATATTTTTACTGTAAATTTTTTTTTTACACTTATGCCGAACAGTATATTATTAAATTATTCAATAAATTTGGCATCTCGTATACTTAATAACATGATTAAATTACAAAATAAATATCAATATAAAATTAATTAATAGTGTAAAAGATTATACAAAAACTATATTAGAATTTAACTCTACGTTAAAATATTTCATCAATTAACAACTTAAAATTTAATTATGCTGATAAAACCAAAGGTATTATGAATTCCTCCTCCTTACTTATTCCTTATTTAAATACTTATATTGTTACATTTGCAAATACTTTTATTATTTCAAATATATATATACATCGTTAAACTTGAAAGTAATGTATATGGATAAAGAAAAATTATTACATAGTTTGAATTTTAAGAAAATGTAATTTTATTTGACTAAGTTAAATATCATTCACATATTAATATTATATCAAAATCAAACTCAAATTAAAATCTGTGGTCAATTAACAACTTAAAATTGAAACGTAGTGATAAAATCAATACATACTCCTCTTCTTTACGTAAATACTCACATCTTCAATGTAAAAGAGGTAAACAAAAAAAAAAGGCACTCGTCATTCTAATAGGTTTGCAAATACTTCTTTTATTTTGAAATATATGTCATTGAAAGTAGTACCTAAGAATTTAAAATAAATAAATAAATGGTATTAATTTTAAGAAGAGGTACTACAATTGACTAAATTGTTTATCATTACAATACTTAAAAATCAAAAGATTACTATTTATTAATGTTATATCATATTTTTTTAGTAGAAGAGAAATATTATTAACATATTATTTTACATTATTTTCGATATTTTATTATTGGATAAAATCTTATGCTAGACCTATTAATAGAGGGTAAAGTCGAAAGTCGAATTATTTACTGAGTTTAACATGAAATTCTATCTAATAATAACAAATATTAAAAAGAGAATATTACTAGCTAAAATTTTCCTTAATAAAAATGATAACAGTCGGAATAAAATAGAAAAAAAAAAATTTAATAATTTTTAAAATGAGAGATAAACAAAAAAAAATATTACTTTTCCAAAGCAATAAATATTATATAATGAATGAAGTAATTTATAAATATTTTAGATATTATTATATTTTAGATATTATTACCGCATGTTTATTACTTTCCCCTATTATATATATGTTACATTATTGAACTGTTTTACACATTTTTCTTTCATTTCAATTTTTGTTGCATATTTTCTTTTGTAATTTTTTCTAAGCCTTGTCATGAGTTTCTCACCACGAATATTCAAATGGTTAAGCTCTTAAAACTCCAAGAAAATAACTTTGTAACTAGTTTTTTTAAAAAAAAAAAAACTATGTAGCAATTGTTTAATAGAAATAATATTTCTCGTGTAAGATGAAAATAATTTTATCTTTCACATTCATATAAAAGTAGATATGATTATTATTTTTTCTTTCTCTCCTTTGCCACAACACATACTTTTATATAAATGTAGAGATAAAATTATCTTGGATGAGTTATACAAAAAAAAAAAAAGTTATCTTGGATGAAAGACAATATTCCCTTTTTAATAACCCGGAAATTTACGTTTGAAAAAAAGTTGCGATTAGTATTACAAATTGACTCCTTGTCCTAAGTTTCCGTGCTTTTATCCAATAGATCTTCGTCCCTTGTTCCTCACTGATTGAGTTTAGTATTGTGAAAGTATATCAAAATTTACAATTAGACCATTCAGTTTGTAAAATTGAAAGAGTTTGATTTAATTTTCTAGAAAGATTGTTTCTTTTTCATTTTTAGTTCTTGTGACTTTTCCATATTTCTCACTGCTGGGCCATTCAAATTGTTGGTCCCACTGACTGATGTACATAAAACTAACATTATTCATGTTCATGAACAATTGAACATGGTGCGGCTAAAGCGGGACTATTTATCTGATTATTCCAACAATTATTTGGGGTGGTTTAATGAGAGTCATTAATCCAAGGTAAAAGAAAAAAGGAGTTATCCCAAATGTCGGAACTCAATCATTGAATCATCGTGTAGGGTCTACCTCTACTTCATTCCCATCATTCCCTTACTATATTAAAAAACATTGAATTATTGTAAAAAAAAAAAAAAAAAAAAACATTGAAATATTGAATTACTACTTATTTTATTACATGCATAATATTTAATACCCTCGTACCATTTTCTCGAAAAATTATATTTTAAGAAACTTTTGACAATGTTTTCTAATCAACGTTATGATTCTGATAGATTGGGTGGATTAGAATCCAAGTATTTTTAAATAATTAAAGTATAAGTTTGTATATAAAAACTTAAGCATCATATTGTATTAGATATTAAAAAAAAAATAAACAAAATGTAGTTGCCAAAAAAATATTGTAAGCTTACGTGACTGCATTTTTTTAATATATATAGAATTAATTATTACGATGCTTCTTAAACAACAGGGAGTGGAAAACACATGGACGTAAAGGAAACACACCACCATTATAGATTATATCATACAAAACGTGGGTTATTGACACTTCATTTTCTATGAATGCTTATTATTTAGTGCTTGTTTATATTCGCCTGAGGAAAACAAAGGAATATTTACCTACCAATTGAATCATTAGTGGGTTTTCTTTCTTTCCCCTGTCCTATGAAACACCGACACTTCAAAAATCCTGACGTGTCGTGTCCGACACTTTTCAACACTCTCGGACACTCCGACACTCCCCGACACTCCAACACGCGTTATAGAAATTCAAAAAAAGGTTCAAAGACTAAGTTGCGTTGAATTTTTAGTTCCAACTATAAGATTCATTGGATTACGATTACCATTTTATTGAGTTTAATATAAATATTCGAGATATCTTATGTTTCTTTGCAAAATTTATGAATATTATAAGTTTAGATATATTTTTTTGTTAAATTATTGAATATTAAATATAATATATACTACATAAATTAAAAATATTATTTAATATCAAAACGTGTTCTAGCGTGTCAAAATCTAACATTTTTTAAAATTAACGTGTCGGAATATAGTGTCGTATCGTGTCACGTGTCCTGTGTCAGTATCGGTGCTCATAGCCCCTGTCAGCCTCCCAAGCTAGTTCAACCCACTCACCCACCCACCCTATTATTTATGAATTATTTTCTGTCCATTACGCACGCATAATAAA